GTGGAATGGCTGGGGTGGGGCAAGGAGCTCTTCCCTGCTGCAGTTAGGTGTGAATGTTTAGCTGATCACCTTCATTAGCATTTGAAGGCCTGCCTGAGCCTGGGAAAATCTGTTGCTGGGAGGTGTTAATCTGTGCCTGGTTTTTTCCTCTCTGTTGTTTAGCTGTTATAATTTTAGAGTTTTTTAATACTGGTAGCCAAATTTTGTTCATTTTCATGGTCTCTTCCTTTCTGTTGAAATTGTCCACATGCCTCTTATGGATTTCAATGGCTTCTCTGTGTAGTCTGACATGGTGGTTGTTGGTGTGGTCCAGCATTTCTGTGTCCTCAAATAATATGCTGTGTCCATATTATTCATGTATGGCAGCTGCAAGACCAAGAACAAGCCACGAGAGTCAAGATGAAGATCCACCCAGAAGGAAAGTGTTCCTGCCAGACATCAAGGAAACCACTGATCGCATAGGGAAGGTGATGAGGAAACACAACATACAAACAATTTACAAACCCACCAAGAAAATCCAACAAATGCTACGTTCAGCAAAGGACAAGAGGGATCCTCTCACCTCTGCAGGAGTCTACCATTGTATACCATGCAGCTGTGGACAAGTCTACAGAGGGACCCCCAAACGCAGCATTGCCCAGACACACATCAAGGAACATGAAAGGCACTGCAGACTCCTTCAACCAGAGAAGTCAGCCATAGCAGATCTTCTGATGTCTGAGGTGGAGTATCCATTGGCCTGGAGAGCCCAGTTGAGGTGGTTCAGTTCATCTTGGAGGAGGTGGGGTTCGCAGATTCTTTTTGCACGGTCTGCCAAGGCTTTAATGGTGCTTCTTTTTTGACTTGGGTGATGGTTGGAGTTTTTATGTACTGTATATTCTGGCGTATAAGACAACTTTTTAACCCAAGAAAATCTTCTCAAAAGTCAGGGGTCGTCTTATACGCGGGAGTAGCCTTATGCATGAGAGTCATCTTATATGCGGGAGCAGTCTTATACGCTGCATTATATGGCAACGTAGAAAGAGGCAAAGAGTTGCAAGCTGCAATAAATGACAATGTAGAGACCAAAACAAAGTTGTTTAGTCAGTTTATAATCACTTAGGGCCCTTTCAGGGTGTGTGTTGGAAGAGGAGTAGTCTTATACGGTGAGTATATCCCAAACTCTATATTTTAACTGGAAAAGTTGGGGGTCGTCTTATATGCCCAGTCGTCTTATATGCCGGAATATACGGTAGATATCTATCTGTGTGTGTGGGTTTTTTGTAGACGGTGTGACCCAATTGTTGATCTGGTTTGCGGATGACTAGGACATCTAGAAAAGGCAGTCTTCCTTCATTTTCTTTTTCCATGGTGAACTGGATGTTTGGGTGGATGCTGTTAAGATGGTCCAGGAACCTGTTGAGTTCTTCTTCTCCATGGCTCCAAATGGTGAAGGTGTCATCCACATCTCTGAACCATATCGTGGGCTTTTTGGTTGCTGTTTCCAGGGCTTGTTCTTCAAAGTGTTCCATGTAGAAGTTAGCTATGACCGGGCTGAGAGGGCTCCCCATAGCTACTCCATCTTTCTGTTCGTAGAATTCATTGTCCCACTGAAAGTAACTGGTGTGAGGCAATGGTGAAACAGAGCCGTGATGTCTTCTGGGAACCTCTGGTTGATGAGTGCCATGGTGTCTGCTACCGGGACCATGGTAAATAGAGATACCACATCGAAGCTGATCAGTTTGTCGTTTGTATTTAGCTTGAGATTGCTGATTGAGCTATGGGGAGCCCTCTCAGCCCGGTCATAGCTAACTTCTACATGGAACACTTTGAAGAACAAGCCCTGGAAACAGCAACCAAAAAGCCCACGATATGGTTCAGATATGTGGATGACACCTTCACCATTTGGAGCCATGGAGAAGAAGAACTCAACAGGTTCCTGGACCATCTTAACAGCATCCACCCAAACATCCAGTTCACCATGGAAAAAGAAAATGAAGGAAGACTGCCTTTTCTAGATGTCCTAGTCGTCCGCAAACCAGATCAACAATTGGGTCACACCGTCTACAGAAAACCCACACACACAGATAGATATCGACATAAAAACTCCAACCATCACCCAAGTCAAAAAAGAAGCACCATTAAAGCCTTGGCAGACCGTGCAAAAAGAATCTGCGAACCCCACCTCCTCCAAGATGAACTGAACCACCTCAACTGGGCTCTCCAGGCCAATGGAGACTCCACCTCAGACATCAGAAGAGCTGCAAGACCAAGAACAAGCCACGAGAGTAAAGATGAAGATCCACCCAGAGGAAAAGTGTTCCTGCCATACATCAAGGGAACCACTGATCGCATAGGGAAGCTGATGAGGAAACACAACATACAAACAATCTACAAACCCACCAAGAAAATCCAACAAATGCTACGTTCAGCCAAGGACAAGAGGGATCCTCTCACCTCTGCAGGAGTCTACCGTATACCATGCAGCTGTGGACAAGTCTACATAGGGACCACCAAACGCAGCGCCCAGACACGCATCAAGGAACATGAAAGGCACTGCAGACTACTTCAACCAGAGAAGTCAGCCGTAGCAGAGCACCTGATGAACCAGCCTGGACACAGCATATTATTTGAGAACACAGAAATGCTGGACCACACCAACAACCACCATGTCAGACTACACAGAGAAGCCATTGAAATCCACAAGCATGTGGACAATTTCAACAGAAAGGAAGAGACCATGAAAATGAACAAAATCTGGCTACCAGTATTAAAAACTCTAAAATTACAACAGCAAAACAGAGAGGAAACAACCAGGCACAGATTAACACCTCCCAGCAAGAGATTTTCCCAGGCTTAGCCAGGCCTTCAAATGCTAATGAAGGTGGTCAGTTGAAACATTCACACCTAGCTCCAGCAGAGAAGAGCTCTTTGCCCCACCCCAGCCATTCCACAGATATATAAACCCATTTTCCTACTTCCAACAGACCTCACTACCTCTGAGGATGCTTGCCATAGATGCAGGCGAAACGTCAGGAGAAATGCCTCTAGAACATGGCTCTATAGCCCGAAAAAACCCACAAGAACCTAATAATAATAATAATGAGTTGCTTTGAGTCTCATTTAAGAGATGAAGGTAGAATATAATGATGATGATGTGTGAGTTGCTTTGGACCTCAATTAAGAGAGAGAAGTGGGATCTAAATAAATATAATAACCATTGTGAGCTGCTTTGAGTCTCATTTAAGAGAGGAAGGTAGGCTATTATTATCATTACTATTTGTGGGATGCTTTGAACATTGTTTTAAAAAGTAGGATAAAAATAAATATAAAATATTTTGTGAGCTGATTTGAGTCTTGATTAAGAAGAAAATAGGATATAATAATAATAATTTGTGAGCTGATTTGACTCTTATTCAAGAGAGGAAAGGATAATAATAATAATAATAATAATAATAATAATAATAATAATAATAATTGAGTTGCTTTGAATCTCAGTTAAATGAGTTGCTTTGAATCTCAATTAAGAGAGAAAAAGTGTGATGTATAATAATGATGATGATGAACTGATTTGAGTCCCATTTAATAACAATACTACTACAAATAATAATGATAATAATAATAATAATAGTTTGTAAGTTGCTTTGGGTCTCATTTCATAGAATCCTAGAGTTGGAAGAGACCTTATGGGCCATCCAGTCCAACCCTATTCTGTCAAGAAGCAAGATAATTGTGTTCAAAGCACCCCCAACAGATGGCCATCCAGCTTCTGTTTAAAAGCCTCCATTAAAGCAGCCTCCACCACAAAAAAGTGGGATATAAATAAATACAATAACTATCTTGTGAGCTGCTTTGAGATCCATTTAAGAGATAAAAGTGGGATACTAATAATAATTATTCCAATATTCAAAAACATGGGAAATAATGCTATATTATTATGTTGTATTATTATTATTATTCCCCATACTTTGCATGTATCAAACTATGATAGCCAAAGAAATAGTGTGTTTACATACCGTATATTTATTCAACTCCAAATTCCAGCACAGAATATACAAATTGTTATCTCTAAAAAGGAATGCAAGTTCTCATTCCTTTAGCAAAGGAAAAGAAAAACAAATGGGGAAAATCTCATCAGGGAGTTACCGAGGTCCAGAAACAATAGGAAGTATGCAAGGAGTTCATATGAAGCTAAATAGAGTTTATTTTGTATATAGCAGGCATGGGCAAACTCCGCCCCTCCCGGTGTTTTGGACTACAACTCCCACAATTCCTAACAGCCAGTAGGCTGTTAGGAATTGTGGGAGTTGTAGTCCAAAACACCGGGAGGGGCGGAGTTTGCCCATGCCTGGTATATAGATCCTTCAACCTCTGTCTTCCCTTCATGTATTTATCAAAACCAACCAAATTGCAAAAATAAAAAGGCTAAATCTAACAGTTGAAGCCTCTTCCATTAAGTAAACATTGCAACCAGTATTTGGTGTGCATTTTACCATTTTTGAGCAAATTTATTTCGATTCTATAGCATCTTTTGTCCAGGTCTTGCTGACGTGGCATTTGCAAGGCAGCTGTGAAAGAAGGGGGTCTTTTTGTGCCATTTTTCTACGCACAGAATAGGTTCAATTATTTTTACTGTTGAAAATTGCAGGATAAGCACCCCATGTTTTCCATATTTAAAGTATCATCGGATTAGATTTTTAAAATTTTAAATAATATTCATACAAACAATAATAATCAATATGGCAATGGATGGAGCCATGCAGAATGACCAGAAAAGGAATCCAACCACTGCAACGATCTCCAGACGGATGTGTTCGATTTTGATTGGTTCCCTCCTTTAGAAGGATGGAAAATATCTATTATTTTTCTTGTTTTAAGGCCAACAATTACTGGTACTTCCAAGGCCATGAAACATGAAGTAACTTTCCTTCCATACCATGCAAATTGTTGAAACATTCCTATTGCGTTGATCTGGATCCTTAAGGGAAGGAACTACCTGATTTATCTTGTTTTTATTTCAGAATGAAAAAGGGAAACGTTGACCACACTAAGAAAAAGTTTCCAGGTATATTTAGAAAAAAAATTCCAGCAATTATACAACACATCCAAAAAGGAACTTATACTGTACTAAGTGTTTTAAATCCTATTTATTTAATTGTTTTGTTTTGACCCTTCTATAGGGACTCAAGGCAGCTCTATCCTATTGCGTTCCCTTTGAGCTTGAAGGATATCTATACATGCAAACTTAAACTGTTTGCAAAAGTTGCAACTTCCCATCCATATATTTAATAATAATAATAATAATAATACACTATTTGCAAAAGTTGCAACTTCCCCTCCAATATTTAATAATAATAATAATAATAATAATAAACTATTTGCAAAAGTTGCAACTTCCCCTCCAATATTATAATAATAATAATAATATAAACTATTTGCAAAAGTTGCAACTTCCCCTCCAATATTCAGTAATAATAATAATAATAATAATTGCAACTTCCCCTCCAATATTTAATAATAATAATAATAATAATAATAATAATAATAAACTATTTGCAAAAGTTGCAAATTTCCCCTCCAATATTTAATAATAATAATAATAATAATAAACTATTTGCAAAAGTTGCAACTTCCCCTCCAATATTTAATAATAATAATAATAATAATAATAATAATAATAAACTATTTGCAAAAGTTGCAGCTTCCCCTCCATTATTTAATTATTATTATTATTATAAACTATTTGCAAAAGTTGCAACTTCCCCTCTATTATTTAATAATAATGATAGTGATAATAATAATAATTTGCAAAAGTTGCAACTTCCCCTCCAATATTTAATAATAATAATAATAATAATAATAATAATAATAATCTATTTGCAAAAGTTGCAACTTCCCCTCCAATATTCAGTAATAATAATAATAATAATAATAATAATAATAATAATTGCAACTTCCCCTCCAATATTTAATAATAATAATAATAATAAACTATTTGCAAAAGTTGCAAATTCCCCTCCAATATTTAATAATAATAATAATAATAATAACTATTTGCAAAAGTTGCAACATCCCATCCAATATTTAATAATAATAATAATAATAATAATAATTTGCAAAAGTTGCAACTTCCCCTCCATTATTTAATAATAATAATAATAATAATAATAATAATAATAAACTATTTGCAAAAGTTGCAACTTCCCCTCCAATATTTAATAATAATAATAATAATAATAATAATAATAATAATCTATTTGCAAAAGTTGCAACATCCCATCCAATATATAATAATAATAATAATAATAATAATAATCTATTTGCAAAAGTTGCAACATCCCATTCAATATATAATAATAATAATAATAATAATAATAATCTATTTGCAAAAAGTTGCAACTTCCCCTTCATTATTTAATAATAATGATAATAAACTATTTGCAAAAGTTGCAACTTCTCATCCAATATTTAATAATAATAATAATAAACTATTTGCAAAAGTTGCAACTTCCCCTCCAATATTCAGTAATAATAATAATAATAATAATTGCAACTTCCCCTCCAATATTTAATAATAATAATAATAATAAACTATTTGCAAAAGTTGCAAATTCCCCTCCAATATTTAATAATAATAATAATAATAATACACTATTTGCAAAAGTTGCAACTTCCCCTCCAATATTTAATAATAATAATAATAATAATAATAATAATAAACTATTTGCAAAAGTTGCAACCTCCCATCCAATATTTAATAATAATAATAATAATAATAATAATAATAATAATCTATTTGCAAAAGTTGCAACCTCCTATCCAATATTTAATAATAATATTAATAATATAAACTATTTGCAAAAGTTGCAACTTCACCTCCAATATTTAATAATAATAGTAACGATAATAATAATCTATTTGCAAAAGTTGCAACCTCCCCTCCAATATTTAATAATAATAATAATAATAATAATAATAATAATAATAATAATAATTGCGAGCACATTGTTCTCCAATAAACAATGGGGTACTTTTGACTTACAAATTGCACTCATTATCATTGCGGTGCCGGCAGGACTGAAGACCGACAGGTCTCAGGTTCGAATCTGGGGAGAGTGCAGATGAGCTCCCTCTGTCAGCTCCAGCTCCCCATGTGAGGTCTGTTGGAAACTAGGCAAGTGAGGTTTATATATCTGTGGAATATCCAGAGTGGAAGATAGGAAACAGTCAGGGCCAGCTAACACCTCCCAACAAAGGATTCCCCCAGGCAGGAAGCAGCTAGGCTTTGAAGCTGCAAGACTTTTCAATATTAATCAAGCTGGCCAATTGCAGAATTCACACTTGCCTCACAAGATGATTTAAAACATATTAATAAACATCTGAAACACTTAAATCCTATATTAAAATGTTTTGTGTCTCTGGGTGCATCTACACCGCATAATTAATGCAGTTTTACACTACTTTAGTTGCTATAGCTCCATGCTAAGGGATCCTGGTATGTTTACATGTTCATCCTTCTCTTCCAAAGTGTGCTGTACTACAAGTACCACTCTAGATGTTGGACTGTAGCTCCCAGCATCCCTCACCATTGGCTTAAGCTGTCTGTGGGCAATGGGAGTTGCAGTCCAACAGCATCCAGAGAGTAATGCAATTTGATAGGAAATCATACCCTTGGAAATGAGACTTTCCTCAATCTAAAAGCCTCTTTGCCTTTCATATATTCTTGCTAAGTATTGGTGTGTCAAGGAAAGCTGTAATTTAACCCAAATCTGGAGGCGATGCAGGGCTTTTTTGGGAGGCTTTCAATTGCAGAGTGGGCTTGCCCATAGCCAGGCGCCTGCTGACATGGCAGCATTGCTTCCCGTCCTCTGCTCTGTGCAGGGAACAAAGCAAATACCGGCTGTGGAGCCATTGGCAATGCATTCGGATGCATCAGAGGGAAAAAATGCACATCGGATGAGCGGCACTGAGCAGCTCAGCATCAGAATTAATCACAACAACAATAACAATAATCGCCCCGAACTAAAGGGGACTCAGGGCAGATCACAGTACACATACACGACAAACATTCAGTGCCATTTGTATAGACAGTACACAGACAGAACAGAATCATAGAATCAAAAGAGTTGGAAGAGACCTCATGGGCCATCCAGTCCAACCCCATTCTGCCAAGAAGCAGGAATATTGCATTCAAAGCACCCCTGACAGATGGCCATCCAGCCTCTGTTTAAAAGCCTCCAATGAATGAGCCTCCACCACACTCTGGGGCAGAGAGTTCCACTGCTGAACAGCTCTCACAGTCAGGAAGTTCTTCCTAATGTTCAGATGGAATGTCCTTCAAAACACCCCCAACAGATGGCCATCCTGCCTCTGTTTAAAAGCTTCCTAAGAAGGAGCCTCCACCACATTCCAGGGCAGAGAGTTCCACTGTTGAACTGCTCTCTCAGTCAGGAAGTTCTTCCTAATGTTCAGATGGAATGTCCTTCAAAACACCCCCCAACAGATGGCCATCCTGCCTCTGTTTAAAAGCTTCCTAAGAAGGAGCCTCCACCACATTCCAGGGCAGAGAGTTCCACTGTTGAACTGCTCTCTCAGTCAGGAAGTTCTTCCTAATGTTCAGATGGAATGTCCTTCAAAACACCCCCCAACAGATGGCCATCCTGCCTCTGTTTAAAAGCTTCCTAAGAAGGAGCCTCCACCACATTCCAGGGCAGAGAGTTCCACTGTTGAACTGCTCTCTCAGTCAGGAAGTTCTTCCTCATGTTCAGGTGGAATCTCCTTCAAAGCACCCCCAACAAATGGCCATCCTGCCTCTGTTTCAAAGCCTCCAAAGAAGGAGCCTCCACCACAATCTGGAGCAGAGAGTTCCACTGCTGAACAGCTCTCACAGACAGGAAGTTCTTCCTAATGTTCAGATGGAATCTCCTTTCTTGTAGTTTGAAGCCATTGTTCCATTGTGTCCTAGTCTCCAGGGAAGCAGAAAACAAGCTTGCTTCCTCCTCCCTGTGGCTTCCTCTCATGTATTTATACATGGCTATCATATCTCCTCTCAGCCTTCTCTTCTTCAGGCTAAACATGCCCAGCTCTTTAAGCCGCTCCTCATAGGGCTTGTTCTCCAGACCCTTGATCATTTTAGTCACCCTCCTCTGGACACATCCCAGCTCGTCAATATCTCCCTTCAATTGTGGTTACCAGAATTGGTGGTCTCCCATTCAAAAACTAACCAGGATATGGCTCTGCTTAGTTTCCTAGATAAGACAGAATCAGGAGCCTTTAGTAGTTGAATGAACTATATTCAGAAATTCCTGGGACTCCCAAGAGCTCCCCCTGGTGGTGCAGTTTGGTAGAGCAGACACTCCCTAAAATATAAATACTTATAGATCACACAACCCAACAAATAATTTATTGGTGTCTTGTTTTTTAAGCCTGCATCTGACTTTATTTGGGGCACAGATTTGGAAAATTGCATTGGATAGACCACATCAGCTCTACTTTCTTAGATACGGTTATCATGTTTTTCTATGGGCGAAGAGATGGCGACTGATAGATGGCATATGCTCAATATCTCAAAACCATAGCTGATAGGGGAAAAAACTGGCTATTTTTTGGAAACAGAACATCAAATATATGTAGAAAAACTTCCGAGGCCCCAAAACGTATGTTGGCCAGTGTTATCTTTGCATTGCTTCACAAGAGTGGCCCACAACAACTACAACTTCCATTATTTGTTTATTTATTTACATATTTCAGCTTTTCTTGAGGATATTCTGGCCACCAGGGGAGCTGCCCTTTCACCGTCCATTTGTGACACCGATGAAGTACTTCCTCATTCTTTGCATGCTTGCTGGAGATTTTTATGGCCTCGCAAATTAGTTAAATTAGCCTCCTGGCATAAACGGTTCCTAAATTTCCTACTTGACAGATGCAACTATCTTTCGGGCTGCAAAGGTCGACAGCAAGCTACACAAATTGGTTGGAAGCTCACTCCGACCCGGGCTGGCTTTGAACTCATAACCTTTCAGTCAGTAGTGATCTTAATGCACTGACTCCCAATCAACATATACACTGGTCAGGACACATGGGAGATACTATTCAGCAATAGGTGGGAGGCTGCTTGTTTGACACCTCACGTCTGCAGGCATGAGAAAGGTGTTGCAACCCAGAGCAGGAAACTGGACCCTCAGACAACAATCCACCACACTTGACTTCAGGAAAACAATCCTTTTTTATTGATGAAAGATGAATACAAAATAGAGGAAATATGCAAAGGTAAAAAGTCACAGTAAAAATCAGCAACAAGAAATGTCCATAAACAAGATCATAAAACCCACAGCAAAACTGCTGAATCCTGGAACCTGTTAGCAATCCACTAACCGTACTTGGAACAACTAGAAAACCTCCGAGGAACAAGGCCACTTGAATCAGGAGACCTGCAAAAGCTTGCACATGAATCTGGAACGATGCCTGGTCTGAAGCTGCATTCAGGCCAGGCATACTTAAGGCCGAGAAATCTATTGTGAGACACGCCTGAAGTTTTTGTTTGCATTTCTCTCAATCTAGCTGACCTGCGTAAACTTTGTGCTTCACCCCGGCTCTGCCAAATCTGCTCCCGCCTATCCTCATTAGACAGACCAGGTGTCAGATTCTCTGGAGAACTAGGACTGGGAGGAAAAGGTAGTGAAACTTCTCCGCTCGGCTCAGAATTTTGACTTTCACTTTCCAAGACTGTAGGATTTTCACTACTCAAACCATCATCATCTAAATTGACCTCAGAATTCACATTGACATCTACATTGGCATCAGGAAATACAATCAGATAATCAGGTTCAGGTTCACACACAGGCTGAACCCCAACAAAAGGTATGGTTCTCCAAATGTTGGATTATAAATCCCATCATCCCTAGCCTAGATAGTAAATGGTGAGGAATGCTAGGACTTGTAATCCAGATTCAGTCTGCTTATTGCTGTCGAGACTGCTCTGTGTCTGCACTAGCGGTTGGCAAAGCAAACTTACTCTCCTCTGACCAGCTGTTGTGCTTCCTTGCAGATCTAGATTGGTGCTATATTCAGTGGAAGCCATGTGGCTGATTAAACTCCTAGCACTTGTTGCACTCGTCGCCGCCGTCCCTCCAGATGCCAAGAAGTCAAGTGAGAAGAAAGCCGCTACAGGAGAGAAGAAAGCAGCTACAGGAGAGAAGAAAGCTGCTCCGGGGGAGAAGAAGCTGAGCGAAAAGGCCACCGCTTTGGCGGACCGTAGCGCCACCCTTGCCTTCAACCTCTACCACGTCATGGCCAAGGACAAGAATATGGAGAACATCCTGGTCTCTCCGGTGGTGGTGGCCTCTTCCTTAGGGCTGGTGTCCCTTGGCGGCAAGGCCACCACCGCCTCCCAGGCCAAGGCCTTGCTCAGTGCCGACAAGCTCAACGACGACTACCTCCACAGCGGCCTGGCGGAGCTCCTGAGCGATGTGAGCGACTCAGAGGCACGCAACGTCACCTGGAAGATGGCCAGCCGCCTCTACGGCCCCAGCTCCATCAGCTTCGCTGACGACTTCGTCAAGAGCAGCAAGAAGCATTACAACTGCGACCACTCCAAGATCAACTTCCGGGACAAGCGGAGCGCACTCAAGTCTATCAACGAGTGGGCCGCCCAGACCACTGACGGCAAGTTGCCGGAGGTCACCAAAGACGTGGAGAAGACCGACGGGGCCCTGATTGTCAACGCCATGTTCTTCAAACGTAAGTTCAAGTTGGTATTGTTGAGTGGGGGAAGCTTTGGCCATGGATTTCAATCTGAAATGCATTATAGAGTCATAGTTGGAAGAGATCACAAGGGCCACCCAGTCCAACCCTGTTCCGCAAGGTAGGAAGATTATAACCCAAGCACTATCAGGAGATGGACAGCCAGCCTGTTTCTTCTTATCCTGATCACTACCACTACATTTCCCAACTTTACTACCTTCTAATGTTCCAAAACTAGCTAGACAAGCAAAGGAGAGGTTTCTAACTGCCTACTGCGGTGGAAAAAAGGAACTGGGGTGGTAGCCCCGACCAGTTGACGATATATACCACAAGGGGAGAGGGCGGAGTCACTACCAAAATGCATCTCTTAAGAACTTCTAGAGGCTTCCAAAACTCTGCATGGGCGACCCATATGTGCGTATTTCACAGGGACCATGTAGAAGAATCAGAATCCTAGACCTGAAAGATACCATAAGGGCCACCCAGTCCAACCCCATTCTGCAAGGCAGGAAGATATAATCCAAGCACTCCCAAGAGATGGACAGCCAGGAACTGGGGTCGTAGCCCCCCCTCCCCCCCCCCCGGTTGACGATATATCCTACAAGGGGAGAGGGTGGAGCCACCTCACAGGCTATTGAGGGTGCATCTACAACAGTGTTCTCACCTTCCTAATGCCGTGACCCCTTAATACAGTTCCTCATGTTGTGGTGACCCCCCAACCATAAAATTATTTTCGTTGCTACTTCACAACTGTAAGATTACTACTGTTATGAATCGTAATATAAATACCTGATATGCAGGATATATTTTCATTCGCTGGACCAAATTTGGCACACTCAAATTTGAGTACTGATGGGGTTGAGGGGGGATTGATTTGTCATTTGGGAGTTGCAGTTGTTGGGATTTATAGTTGACCTACAATCAAAGAGCATTCTGAACTCCGCCAACAATAGAATTGAACCAAACTTGGCACACAGAAAACACTGCAAGGCACTGACCTTGACTTTTGGAGTTGTAGTTCACCTACATCCAGAGAGCACTTTGGACATAAGCAATGATGGATCTGAACCAAACTTGGCATGGATATTCAATATGCCCAAATGTGAACACTGGTGGAATTTGGGGGAAATAGACCTTAACATTTGGGAGTTGTAGTTGCTGGGATTTAAAGTTCACCCACAATCAAAGAACATTCTGAACTCCACCAATGATAGAATAGGGCCAAACTTCCCACACAGAACTCCCATAACCAACAGAAAATACTGTGTTTTCTGATGGTCTTTGGTGACCCCTCTGACACCACCTTGCGACCCCTCCAGGGGTCCCGACCCCCAGGTTGAGAAACATTGGTCTATGTGATCTTCCAATGCATTTTGTGCGCATTTCACAGGGACCACGTAGAAGAATAATAGAATCCTAGAGCTTAAAGGTACCATAAGGGCCATCCAGTCCAACCCTCTGCCATGCATGGATACGCAAAGTGTTCCTTACAGACAACTTGATCTGTTTTGAGTCTCCTTGAGAAGATAAAAAGCAGGGTATAAATAAACCTCATCATCATCCAGCCTCTTCTAAAAGAGAAACAGGTTCAGCTGGACTCTGAAGTAGGAACATACTTAATTTTTGTAAACTCTGAGAAGCATCTCAAGGGTAATCAGAGTGTCTACTCTATGTTATTTATTTTTGTAGCTCACTGGGATGAGAAATTCCACCACAAGATGGTAGACAACCGTGGCTTTATGGTGACCCGGTCCTTCACAGTTGGCGTTCCTATGATGCATCGCACAGGTGAGTCTGAAGACAAGAGAAATTGCAGTTGGCATCATAGTTTGGAAAAGTTATTTTTATAGAAGAACTTCTGATATTCCTCTGAGTTGCAACCCAGCATGTGTGGTGGGCTCCTGGTGTGGGACAGGCTGGAAGTTCTCTCCCAGCATCTTCTTTGTTAATTGTACAACCAACCTTTGCATTTTGTTTCCAAAAGGGTTGTACAACTACTTTAATGATGAGGCGGAGAAGTTGCAGATGGTGGAGATGCCACTGGCCCACAAGCTCTCCAGCATGATCTTCATCATGCCGAACCACGTGGAGCCCCTGGAGCGGCTGGAGAAGCTGTTGACCCAGGAACAACTGAAAACCTGGCTGGGCAAGATGAAGCAGCGGGCAGTGGCCATCTCCCTGCCTAAGGTCAGCCTGGAGGTCAGCCACGACCTGCAGGTGAGTTGGGTCTGGACTCATAGTAGTTTTGGATGCCAAAGATTGGAGGGCATGGATCCACACTCCCATGGGATGGGCATATCAAAGGGGAACTAGGAGTCCTATCAGAGGGCAACTAGGAGTCCTATCAAAGGGGAACTAGGAGTCTTTTGAGTTGAGAAGGTTGAGAGGGGACATGGTAGTCATTTTGAAATATTTGAGAGAATTATCATATTGAGGAGGAGGACAAGCTTGTTTTCTGCAGTTCTAGAAATTGGGATGTGGAGCAATGGATTCAAACTGCAAGAAAAGCAACTCCACCTTCTTGAAGATAAAACTTCTTGAAGATAGAACTTCGTGAAGATAAAAGCTGTTTGGTAGTGCAATATGTTGGGTGAGTGGGCTTATCAACAGAAGACCCTCCCCATAAAGGTATAGCAGAGTAACTTAGCAGCAGCGTGACCCAGCACCGGTAGCCCAAAGTGATAAAAGGAATGAAAAACACATACCAATAGTACCTCTTCCATAGGAGGCTTTTCTTTGTAGTAAAATAATAATTGCACTATTTACAACAACAAGGTTTCTGTAACACAAATAAACAAGTACACAGTAGCTTTACACACAGCAGCCTTTATACACTGCTTTACACACAAGGCCTTCAACCTAGGGCTTTTTTCACCAAAGCTTCTCACACCAAGCCTTCCTCATACTTGGCCTTTTCATAGACTAAGGCCTACTCACAGACTGAGACTTTTCTCCCACTGAGGCATTCTCTCACACAGAGGTTTACCTCACACTCCTCAAGACAACACCAGCTTTGGCTCACCAACTTTAACAAGCTTCAGCCTACTATTTCAGGGGCAGACTCGCACTTTTGTAATCAAAAATACCTACCTAATTTTTAATATTTCTGACCTAATATGCTGCTACATAGAAGTCTGGTGGAGTCTCCTTCCTTTGAAAGTTTTTCAGTGGAAGCTGGATGGTGAGACCTTTCTCCCACTGAGGCATTCTCTCATACAGAGGTTTACCTCACATTCCTCAAGACACCAGCTTTGGCCCACTAACTTTAACTGGCTTTGGCCTACTAACTCTTTCAGTGCTTGACTCACACTTTTGCCATCAAAAATATCGAGCTAATTTTTAATATCTCTGACATAATATGCTGCTGCCTGGATGTCTGGTGGAGTCAACTTCCTTGGAAGTTTTTCAGTGGAGGCTGGATGGCGAGATCTTTCTCCCACTGAGGCGTTCTCTCACACAGAGGTTTACCTCACACTCCTCAAGACACCAGCTTTGACTCACTAACTTTAACAGGCTTCGGCCTACTATTTCAGTGGCAGACTCGCACTTTTGTAATCAAAAATACCTAGCTAATTTTTAATATTTCTGACATAATATGTTGCTGCCTGGATGTCTGGTGGAGTCAACTTCCTTGGATGTTTTTCAGTGGAAGCTGGATGGTGGGACCTTTCTCCCACTTAGGCATTCTCTTGCACAGAGGTTTACCTCACTCTCCTCAGAACAACACCAGCTTTGGCCCACTAACTCTTAACTGGCTACTAACTATTTCAGTGGCAGACTCACTTTTGTCATCAAAAATATTTAGCAATTTTTTAATATCTCTGACATAATATGCTGCAGCTTGGATGTCTGGTGGAGTTTCTTCCTTGGAAGTTTTTCAGTGGGATGGCGAGACCTTTCTCCCACTGAGGCATTCTCTCGCACAGAGGTTTACCTCACACTCCTCAGGATGACACCAGCTTTCACCCACTAACTCTTAACAGGTTTCGGCCTACTATTTCAGTGGCAGATTCACACTTTCGTTATCAAAAATACTTAGCTAATTTTTAATATTTCTGTCATAATGTGCTGCGGCCTGGATGTCTGGTGGAGTCTCCTCCCTTGGGAGTTTTTCAGTGGAAGCTGGATGGCAAGACCTTTCTCCAACTGAGTTGTTCTCTCACACAGAGGTTTACCTCACACTCCTCAGGATGACACCAGCTTTGGCCCACTAACTCTTAACTGGCTACTAACTATTTCAGTGGCAGACTCACTTTTGTCATCAAAAATATTTAGCAATTTTTTAATATCTCTGACATAATATGCTACTGCCTGGATGTCTGGTGGAGTCAACTTCCTTGGAAGTTTTTCAGTGGAAGCTGGATGGCGAGATCTTTCTCCCACTGAGGCGTTCTCTCACACACAGGTTTACCTCACACTCCACCAGCTTTGGCCCACTAACTCTTAACTGGCTTCGGATTACTATTTTAGTGGCAGACTCACACTTTTGCAATCAAAAATACCTAGCTAATTTTTAATATTTCTGACATAATATGCTGCTGCCTAAAAGTCTGGTGGAGTCTCCTTCCTTGAAACGTTTTTCAGTGGAAGCTGGATGGTGAGACCTTTCTCCCACTTAGGCATTCTCTTGCACAGAGGTTTACCTCACACTCCTCAGGACAACACCAGCTTTGGCCCACTAACTCTTAACTGGCTTCGGCCTACTAACTATTTCAGTGGCAAACTCACTTTTGTCATCAAAAATATTTAGCTAATTTTTAATATCTCTGACATAATATGCTGCAGCTTGGATGTCTGGTGGAGTTTCTTCCTTGGAAGTTTTTCAGTGGGATGGCGAGACCTTTCTCCCACTGAGGCATTCTCTCGCACAGAGGTTTACCTCACACTCCTCAGGATGACACCAGCTTTCACCCACTAACTCTTAACAGGTTTCGGCCTACTATTTCAGTGGCAGATTCACACTTTCGTTATCAAAAATACTTAGCTAATTTTTAATATTTCTGTCATAATGTGCTGCGGCCTGGATGTCTGGTGGAGTCTCCTCCCTTGGGAGTTTTTCAGTGGAAGCTGGATGGCAAGACCTTTCTCCAACTGAGTTGTTCTCTCACACAGAGGTTTACCTCACACTCCTCAGGATGACACCAGCTTTGGGCCACTAACTCTTAACTGGCTTCGGCCTACTAACTACTTCAGTGGCAGACCTGCACTTTTGTAATCAAAAATATCTAGCTAATTTTTAATTTTCTGACATACACTGTGGCCTGGATGTCTGGTGGAGTCTCCTTCCTTGGATGTTTTTCAGTGGAGGCTGGATGGCGAAACCTGTCTCCCACTGAGGTGTTCTCTCACTCAGAGGTTTACCTCACACTCCTCAGGACAACACCAGCTTTGGCCCACTAACTCTAACTGCCTTTGGTCTACTAACTATTTCAGTGGCAGACTAACACTTTTGTAATCAAAAATACCTAGCTAATTTTTAATATTTCTGACATAATATGCTGCTGCCTAGAAGTCTGGTGGAGTCTCCTTCCTTTGAAGTTTTTCAGTGGAAGCTGGATGGCCTTGTCAGGTGCTTTGATTGCATTTTCTTGCACAACAGAAGACTTGGATGATCCTTAGGGTCTCTTCCGGTTCTGACTGTGGTAACTTCATAGAATCAAAGAGTTGGAAGAGACCTCATGGGCCATCCAGTCCAACCCCCTGCCAAGAAACAGGAATATTGCATTCAAATCACCCCTGACAGATGGCCATCCAGCCTCTGTTTAAAAGCTTCCAAAGAAGGAGCCTCCACCACACTCCGGGGCAGAGAGTTCCACTGCTGAACGGCTCTCACAGTCAGGAAGTTCTTCCTCATGTTCAGATGGAATCTCCTCTCTTGTAGTTTGAAGCCATTGTTCCCTTGCAGTCCTAGTCTCCAGGGAAGCAGAAAACAAGCTTGCTCCCTCTCCCTGTGGCTTCCTCTCACATATTTATACATGGCTATCATATCTCCTCTCAGCCTTCTCTTCTTCAGGCTAAACATGCCCAGCTCCTTAAGCCGCTCCTCATAGGGCTTGTTCTCCAGACCCTTGATCATTTTAGTCGCCCTCCTCTGGACACTTCCAGTGGAAACATACCATAGAATCAACTGGAATACCTTAAGAGATTCTGAGAGAAGTCTTTTCGTCGGATGCAAAGATATGTGCGTGTGTGTATACATACATACATACTTATAGACTTCCTTGTAGCTTTTGACTATAATGTGTCTATCTCACTTTCCAGAAACACTTGGCCGATTTGGGTTTAACTGAAGCCATTGACAAGAACAAGGCCGACCTCTCCAAGATTTCAGGCAAGAAGGACCTCTACCTCTCCAACGTCTTCCACGCGGCGGCTCTGGAGTGGGACACGGAAGGGAACCCCTTTGAGGGGGACATCTACGCCCGGGAAGAGATGAAGAGCCCCAAGCTCTTCTACGCCGACCACCCATTCATTTTTGTCATCAAGGACAATAAGACCAATTCGATTCTCTTCATTGGCCGGCTAGTCAGGCCCAAAGGAGACAAAATGCGGGATGAGTTGTAGTGGTAGAGTAGGTTGCGTATGGAGAGATGCGTTTGTTGGTTTGTTTTGTAGAAATCGAGGCGGTGGAAATGATGCTGTGTGCCTTTTTATAAACTGGTGCTCGCAGGCCGTTTTCTCACTAAGGTCGCATTGGCACAGGGCTAAGCCCTGCTTAAGTCAGCAGGACTTACTTCTGTGTAAACCAGGGGTATGAAGTGCCCAACCATGCATTAGGAGCCCCGGCTCAGATAGCAGCCTCCATGTCAGGAAGCAGTATTATTATTATTATGCTTATTTATGCCCCACTTTTCTCTCCCGAAGGAGATTCATGCTGTCCTGTATCTTGCCCACCCTCAGGACCTCAGAAGAAGCAACTGGATGGTCCATCTGGCATTAGTTTGGGATTTGATAGATGATCTAACTCATAGTGCAGTCAGAGAGCAGTCCTCAATAGCCTTTCCCATGAAGCCAGAGATATTGAATTGTGAACGTCTTCATAGATATGGAGGAGTATGACAGGCCCCCCATCCTCTTTGTAAAACCAAGGGTCAAGCTATAACAGTGAAGTGCAGTGGTTCCCAATCTTTCGCCCTCAAAGGCTTTGCACTTCAGCTCTCAGAATTCCCAAAAGTTGGCCAAGACAGTTGAGTCTTCTGGGAGGTGGAAGTCCCAAATACATGAAGGATTAGAGTTCAGGAATCGCTGCTCTAGGCAGAGCTATCACTAGATGGCATGGGTTCAGGAGCAAACATATGAGGGTCCTATGTGTTGTCGAAGGCTTTCATGGCTGGAATCACTGGGTTGCTGTAAGTTTTCTAGGTTGTATGGCAGCATTCTCTGCTGACGTTTCACCGACATCTATGGCAGGCATCCTCAGAGGTTGTGAGGTCTGCTAGAAACTAGATATATAAACCCCACTTGCTGAACATGAACAATCCTGACTTTAAACACCAAACATTGAATAGGAAAAAGCAATCCTTTTACTGAAGATAAGTAAAAAACAGCCAAGTAAAAAGCACTTTAAAGAAATTGGTAAATCCAATTAGGTAAGAAGATAAGCAGGAACAAATTAGTCCAAGGTAGAGTTTCGGCAATGTTCATAAAAGCAAAATCCACACATCTCCAATACAATCCAGAAAATCAGGAATATATCGATCCATGGTAAGGAATCATGAAATCCAGGAATCCAAAACCATGAACAAGAATGAAACTTCAAGGTTTCCATAAAACAAGGACGAGAACTTGGCATGATTCTAAACCATGCTTCATCTGACTACACATCCCAAACTTGAGACTTTTATCCCCTCGTTAGCTAGGTCACTAGCGGTCAGAAATTGGTTTCTCTTTAGTTGAGGCTTTGTTATTGTTTTCTGTCAAAGCCTGGCAGAGCGCCTAAGCCATTGCACAGCTCTCCTGTTTTGACTGAACTCTTCTCGTCTATCTCTTGGCTCATTATCTACTTGTTCATTAATTTCTGCAGGTGTCGAGCTATTTTCATGTTCTCCCTCATGAGAACTCTCTGGTAACAATTCAGAAAGGACACCATCATCCCCACACCCCTCAGGGACATTCTCATGGGAAACTACAGGGATCTCCTGGTCATTCTCTGCATCAGTATCACTGACCAAACCATTGCCATCTTGAAACTCATCTTGAACCTCATTAACATCATTCCCCATATCCAAAGCACCCTGATCCTGAAACACAATCACAGGCTGAACTCCAACACTTGCCTAGTTTCCAATAGACCCCTCAACCTCTGAATATGCCTGGCAGATGTGGGCAAAATTTCAGGAGAGAGTGCTTCTGGAACATGGCCATACAGCCCAGAAAACTCCAGGCAACCCGGTCCTATGATCCCTTTCCTGAAGCTGATGGGGACTGTTAGTCTAGCAATATCTGGAAAGCTAGTTGCCCAACCTAGCTCTAAATTGTGGCTTCTGCTCTTTCAAAATGGGTGGCATTATTTTTAAGGTGACTAATGCAAAACTAGCGTCATTCTGATCACTATTGGGATTGCAGTTGGTGACCCTTTCCTGCGTGGAACAACATGGGGTTGGATCGGATGGCCCTTTTGCTTGCTTCAGACATTGATTCTTTTTAATTTTCAATTTTGCTTCCTTCTTAATAGTTCTGCTCAAGTCTTGCAGACTCGTGGCTCTTGTTTCTCTGATCTTCTTCTGCCTTAAAGTTACCTGGTGCCAATGACCTTCTGCCTCCCAAGTTAACATTCCTGCTTTGCCAACTCGGACTGTGTTGTCAAACCAAGGTCAAGGGAGGGCTGGACTCAGGAAAAGCCTTTATAAATGTGAAATATGGATGCAAAACCTAAATCCCCTGGACTGCTGCCTTTGGGAGCACGGCCTCAAATACATTTCAAAGTGTGGCACATAAAAGTGGGATGCTAACACAAATCCAATCTCCACACCGAAGCTTGGTGAAATGTATTTTGCAGGGTAGAGTGGGAGGGAGAAGAGGGTGGAAGCTTCTTCCTGAGATGAGGGCTGCTAATGGCCAGGTGCCTCGTTTTGTTACCCCACAAGCATTTTTTGTTGTACAATTTTTGCAATAAAATGTTTTCCAAAATGTTGGTCTTGTTTGTGATTTGAGTACACACAGTCCTTGGCACAGAAAAGGTTACCAGTGGCAATTCAAGTGGGAGACAGATTTCCCCAAAGGTACCGGGGTCTGCAAAAGTATCACTCTCATAGCAATCTAAGCCATCTACACAGAACAAGATGCAAAAATAATGGTGAATGGACAACAGTCGACAAACATCCCAATATTAAAAGGGACAAGACAGGGATGTCCCCTTTCTCCCCTCATTTTCATCCTAACTTGAACAACATAAGAAAGAACCCGGAATTAATAGGATTAAGAACAAAAGGCCACTCCTACAAAACAAGCGCGTTTGCTGATGACATAGTGTGTTTCATAGAAGATCCAATAAACAATACAAACAAGTGGTTAATAGAGATAGAGAAGTATGGAGAAGCGGCAGGCTTGAGAATTAATAGGGATAAAACGCAAATTATTGTTAAAAATATGAATAGAGAAAAGAAAGACTACAAGAAAGGACGGGAGTAAAGGTCACCACAAAAGTAAAATACCTGGGAGTAACAATTTCCCTCAACAATAATCATCTGATAAAAATTACTATGAAAAACATGGTCCGAAATAAAAAATAAATTACAGAAATGGTCACAGCTTAATCTTTCATTGCTAGGCAAGATAGCAGTAGTAAAAATGAATATCCTGCCTGACATCCTGTTCACATTTCAGACACTCCCGATTCTTAGGACAAACACACCGATACAGAAATGGCAAAAAGAGATAATTAAATTTATATGGAACAACAAAAAACTATAGAATAAGTGTGGTAAATCTAATAGACGATAAAAAGAGAGGCGGCCTGGCCCTCCCTGAGCTCCAACTATACTATGACGCTGCAGCGCTAAGCTGGCTCCGAGACTGGGCGTCGTTGGAGAAAGAGAAGTTCAACATCTTTATTAATGACTTAGATGAAGGGTTAGAAGGCATGATCATCACGTTTACAGACGACACCAAACTGGGAGGGATAGCCAAGACTCCAGAGGACAGGAGCAGGATTCAAAACGATCTTGACAGATTAGAGAAATGATGGCCAAAACTAACAAAATGAAGTTCAACAGTGACAAATGCAAGATACTCCACTTTGGCAGGAAAAAAATGAAATAGATACAGAATGGGGGACACTGCCTGGCTCGAGAGCAGTACGTGTGAAAAAGATCTTGGAGTCCTCGTGGACAACAAGTTAAACATGAGCCAACAATGTGATGTGGCAGCAAAAAAAGCCAATGGTATTTTGGCCTGCATCAATAGGAGCATAGTGTTTAGATATAGGGAAGTCATGCTACCCCTCTATTCCGCTTTGGTTAGACCACACCTGGAATATTGTGTCCAATTCTGGGCACCACAATTCAAGAGAGATATTGACAAGATAGAATGTGTCCAGAGGAGGGCGACTAAAATGATCAAGGGTCTGGAGAACAAGCCCTATGAGGAGCGGCTTAAGGAACTGGGCATGTTTAGCCTGAAGAAGAGAAGGCTGAGAGGAGATATGATAGCCATGTATAAATATGTGAGAGGAAGCCACAGGGAGGAGGGAGCAAGCTTGTTTTCTGCTTCCTTGGAGACTAGGACGCGGAACAATGGCTTCAAACTACAAGAGAGGAGATTCCATCTGAACATGAGGAAGAACTTCCTGACTGTGAGAGCCGTTCAGCAGTGGAACTCTCTGCTCCGGAGTGTGGTGGAGGCTCCTTTGGAAGCTTTTAAACAGAGGCTGGATGGCCATCTGTCAGGGGTGATTGTGCTTTTCCTGCTTCTGGCAGAAGAGGGTTGGACTGATGGCCTTGAGGTCTCTTCCAAATGTAGGATTCTATGATGTTTGATATCAACCAGGGCTGGCATGCTTACTTATGGAGAGAGAGAGGTAAGAAAGAAAAACTCTTCAAGAATCATCCCATAAGAGCCGCACTAATCTTCATTTGGAACAAATACAAAAACAAGCTGTATCAGAAAACTCCAATGTGGTTCTCCCCTAATGAAGCATATCACAAAAGGGAAATACATTTGGCTAACATATAACCAACTCCTAAAAATCAAGAGACAAGAAATAATATTAAAATCAAGGGAAGAACTGACACAGATAGACTCCACCATCTCATGGTTCCATTACCACCAAATAAGAGAAAACTTTAAGACAGATAAAATACTAGGTTTCGAAATTAGGAAAACCTTTTGGGATAAAATACTAATGACAGAACCAAAAATAATAAGAAAAATATATAATCAACTCTTAATATGGGCCACAGAGAAGGAACAAGTCAAAACTAACATGATAAGCTGGTCACAAGACATAGGACCCTCCATACCCCTGACAGATTGGGAGAAAATCTGGAACAAGAAAATTAAGTACACATATGCCACGGATCTCAAAGAGAGCTGGTACAAGATTTTCTACAGGTGGTACCTAACACCCGAGATACTAGCAAAAATTAACAAAGATAAAAAGAAAAATCGATGCTGGAAATGTGGAAAGGAGAAAGGCGATTTCCTACATATGTGGTGGAGCTGTAGAAAAGTAAAAAGATATTGGTCACAAGTACATAGAATGATGTAAAGAATACTAAAAACAAAATTTGAACTAAAGCCAGAAACATTACTATGAGGTCTACACAATCTGAAACTAGAAAAGAATGAGGACAGGATTTTTTTCTACCTAACAGCAGCAGCTAGGATGGTCTTAGCAAAAATGTGGAAAACCGAAGAGATCCCAACAATGGAACACTGGACTAGTAAAATAATGGACATAATTATTTATGTATATGTAAAATAAAATCAATACATTTTTTTTTAAAAAGTATCACTCTCATGACGACAACTTTGGATATTTGGAGTAGTCTGGATTTCGGAATTAAGGTCCTCCATCGTGCATGTGGCAGGGCTCAGGCTGCATTGTAGTAAGTGGTCTGTGGTTTGCTCTTCTCCACTTACTTACCTGCATGTTCTCCCACAGTGAGGGCATCGGTTTCCAGGTGGGAGGTGGTCCTGGTCGGCTTGACGTGCCTTCTTGGCACGTTTCTCTCTTTCGCCCTCCATTCGTTGGACTGGATGGCCCATGAGGTCTCTTTCCAACTCTGATTCTAAAGCCCTGTCCTCTGGCGCTAGTGCTCCCTCTGGCCCTAGCTCTTAACTCAAAATGCCGCTCGTATGTCAAAGCAAAACATGGGCAGTGATGGCTTTTAACTCAAAACGCTCTTAGGTCAAGGTTTCATTGTACTTTTTTTATCTGTTCTGCTTTTGATGAGGGGGCAGAACTTTTAACTAATGCAGTGTTTCTCAACCTGGGGGTTGGGACCCCTGAGGGGGTCGCGAAGGGGTGTCAGAGAGGTCGCCAAAGACCACCAGAAAACACAGTATTTTCTGTTGGTCACGGGGGTTCTGTGTGGGAAGTTTGGCCAATTCTATCATTGGTGGGGTTCAGAATGCTCTTTGATTGTAGGTGAACTATAAATCCCAGTAACAACTCCCAAATGTCAAGGTCTATTTCCCTCAAACTCCATCAGTGTTCACATTTGGATATATTGAGTATCTGTGCCAAGTTTGGTCCAGATCCATCATTGTTTGAGCCCAGTGCTTTCTGGATGTAGGCGAACTACAACTCCCAAACTCAAGGTCAATGCCCACCAAACCCTTCCAGTATTTTCTGTTGATCATGGGAGTTCTCTGTGCCAACTTTGGTTCAATTCCATTGTTGGTGGGGTTCAGAATGCTCTTTGTTTACATGTTAACTATAAATCCCAGCAACTACAACTCCCAAATGACAAAATCAATCCCCCCGCCAACCCCACCAGTATTCAAATTTGGGCATACCGAGTATTTGTGCCAAATTTGCTCCAGTGAATGAAAATACATCCTGCAGATCATTATTTACATGGAGATTCATAATGTTAGGGTTATGGTTGGGGTTCACCACGACATGAGGAACTGTATTAAGGGGTCGCGGCATTAGGAAGGTTGAGAACCACTGGTCTAATGGAAACTGATGAGCTTGATCAGTAGTCAAAACAGAACTTTTTGCTCTGTGTCCCGTATCTCAGAGATGGGCATGTAACCAGCCCCACTCCTGAAAATCAGCCCTCAGCCAAACAGTTTATTGAGAAACCATTTTGAGACTCAAGACTGTTGCTGA